ACACGCACAGACAGGGTCGTCCTAATATGCGTTTTTGCAATTTGCATATAGGCAAAAACGCATAAAAATGATCAGATACGGGGCACAGATAATATCATAACCGCATATATGCCTAAGAAAACCTAAATTTACACGGAAAAAATCGGCATTCCATGGTTCACAACAAAAGATCCCGTAAACTGAGTTTAAAATCAAAGCTTTTACAATCCAGTATTGGAATCCATGAAAGATTTTGTTTGTGTAATATATCTCCAGTCTCTCCCCATATTCAGGACCCATTCTCTGGCAAAGGCAAGGTGCTTCGAATAACAGCGCTACTACTGACATTGAGCTAAAGACTTCATAACTTCCTCCATCCAGAGCTAGATGAGAACTTCATAACATCCTCAGTCCGGAGCTAGGTGAGAAATAAGTTGAAACTGATCTGAACTGACAACCAAACTTGCTATTTCTTCAGCTGATTTTTTTAGCCTTCATCCCCGGAACAAATTGTAAACAAACTGTTCTTTTTAGCAGCTGCTTGGAATTACAAGCCTAGCAAGTTGTCCTTTTAGGCTGATGAAACTAATGTTTCGCTGATAAACGAAGGTAGTCGATAATCGCTCAAAAAATTCTAGAAACCAGATGTATAATTCAGCACTACTAACACTCCTTAAAATGTACTTTATGTTGCGGTTTCCAACTCGTTTCGATGGGAAACTCGAAAGGCGCTTCGGTAGAGGATGTCAGTGTACTGGAAGTTAGTGCTGCTGAGAGTCGCTTCGAATCTGCGTTTTGAGTCGGCTCCTGGCTATACACTGTGTCCGTGTCTTCGTCGCTCTCTTCCGTTAACGCCTCCAAATGCCCATCTGGACTTTTTGCTCGTACCGTTACGATACATTGATCCAAATGGTTTTGAAGCATTTCACAAACCTAAATTTGAACCGTATAATCATCACAATGGCACTTGAATTTACGAAATTTCATAGTGCACCTGTCCGTTTTTACGTTTTGCACTTTTTTTTTTGCAACTACACACTGACGAAAATTTGCTTGTGTGTTTGCCTGTGAGGTTTGTTCGCTAAAGTGCTTGTCGTGGTTTACCAATTCTGTGACCAGAAAAGCTAAAAAGCTAGAATTTCTCAAATTTTTTTCGATCAAAAAAGCTAAAAAGGTGAAAAATGATATGTGCAGGCCAAAAACGTTACTTTTTGATTAACAGAAAGGATTGATTCACCATAACACAATTATGCATACTCCTGTCCTACAAAAGAAACAAACATCTACTGAACACTTGTGGAAGAAACAATAGGTCTGCAGCGCTCGCCGCATCTTATTTCTGGAGGATCAAGCGAACTCCCAAGAAAACAAAAATCTGTTTCAGTCACCGCCCATTAATTTGATAACGTGACGAAGTTGCCACTGACAACAAGTGGATATACGCATTAACAGATAGTGTTGGTAGTAGGCGAAAACAGATATGAGTTCAGAAAAGTTGACTGCTATTAGTCGTGATAACTTGATGGCAAGTATAAAATAAAGGCAGCTGTCCAGCTCAAAGACATGCAGCGCGTAACCACTGAATTGCATAAACACTGAAGATTCCAAGATCCCAGTGATAGAGCACGTGAGCGTTTATTTTAAATTTTGGGGCCTAGCCACACTAAGCCGTAATGGCGCACTAAGAAGCCAAAATTTTATCTTTGTGATTTTTGTAAATCTGAAAATCGAAGTGTGCAGACAAATAAACACAAAGACAACCTCTTGTTGATATGAGTTTTAGCACTGCCTGTAACAAAAAAAAAAACAGCTGGAGCGCACCAGGCGGGCCGGTGCGATCATGCGTTTTTGCGGCAAACTTGAACTAATTCGGTTAACTACATAAATGTTAGTTTCCTCACACCTGCCTTTTGCGCACAATATCGTAAATCATCATAAATTTTGCATAAACGAGAATAAACAATTTCCGTTTGTGCGTTTTTGCCTATATGCAAATTGCAACCCAGGCTGGAACGCACCAGGCGAGCCGGTGCGATCAT